CTGCCATATCGCGCCATCGGCCCCTCTGGCCAACACCAGTAGGCGGTAGGTGAAGTGTCTTGCCCAAGGACACAACGACCAGGACAGAGAGAGCAGGAGGGATCGAACCGGCGACCTTCCAGTTAAGGATTGCGCATCCCAACCCCCAGCGCCACGGTCGCCCCCGAATTAAGAATGGTTCTTGCATTCTTAATGGGGTTGGGACCATCAGTTGTGTTGTGCAGAAATCAGGTTGGTACACAGCTGACAGACATATTAGACAACTGTTACAATTCATATTATGGCAAGAACCAATCAGGTCAAGAGAAACAACAACAGTCCATCATTACTTTAACAACTGAAGGTCAGTCATGGTTTTCCTCTTTTTAGTGAGCCAAGCCGAAAGAGCCGGTTCTCTAAAAAGACCAGAATTCCCATCAGTAGTGTTGTGTGGGCTGGAGGTCTTATGTGCTTCCATCTAGTCTGCTACTGCCAATCTCCTTTCAGAAGCTAGTGGCTCAGTGAGTGGGCCTCGGAGTAGCCTCGTGGTGATTCTCACTGGGAGGCCCGAGACCCGAACATTGTAAACATTACACTTGGGGCCAGTAGGGTGGATCCCTTCATTAGGATAGAGGGACACACGTCCAGGTTACACAGTAATCAAAGCAAAGTCTGGATATTACGAAGAATCTAAAATATAAAACAAAAAACATGTTTTGAGTTATTTCACCCTTTTTGATTTACTACATAATTCAACACATGTTCATTATTAGTTGATGCCTTCAGCAAGAATCTAACAAGAAAAACCATTAAACTGTTTTGTCCAAAATGGTGACTGGTACTGTAATCCAGTCTGACTGGTTCAAATATTATTCCCATCCTCATGGTCTGAGCACCAACTGCTGATGAACCTGACCTTCAGACAGCCCTGAGGTCTCCCAAAACAGTTCTGTCAACAGACATTTCTACTCCCGACATTTCTAAATCTTTCAGCAGTTGGCCACAGAAGTCGAGCTTCACTAATCTCATCCACACGTGTCCACACTAAGAGTGACCTGAGACACATTGAACATACTCTGGGTTCTTCAGATGAGGAAAGTTGACAGTATAGTAGTTACACTGATAAATGAACCCTCTCCTGACGTCCTGGTACTGAATGAGCAGATAACGGTGGACAGGTGTACCTGAGTGCAGTCCGATGCGGATTTTGACTTTAATCTCGGGCATGTGTTTGATCTTAAAGGCTCCTATCGAGTGCAGGATGTCCAGAGACATGTTGGCCACTTCAGCTGCGTGTCGATTCCCATTCCTGTTGGGAACACCTGAAGCCACCATGTAGGCATCTCCAATAGTTTCCACCTATAACAAAACCAGAACCAAATTTCATGTGTCTTTGTTCAGATAATCCAGAAATTAAGAGCAATCTTTACTGTTTAGGTCAGACACGTGTTTTAAATGGAAGTGTGTTACCTTGTACACATCATGGAGAGCAATGATGGCATCAAACATGGTGTAGAGGTCGTTCAGCAGGTCGACCACCTACACACACACGGGTTTAGTGAAACACTGAGAAATGAAATGCACAAACATAAGTTCAAACAGTTTGTACCTCGATGGGCTCGCTCAGAGCAGAAATAGTTGTAAATCCAACAATGTCGCTGAAGTAAAGGGTGCAGTCCGAATAATGCTCAGGTTGGACTGGTTTCCCTTTCTTCAGAGCTTGAGCCACAGACCTGGAACAAATGG